GTGCTGATAACATTACTCCAGTAGCTGAAAGGGCAAATGATCTGCAAATTCTGGTACTGCAATAAAAGACAGAACACTGCAAAAAATAGGGCTATGAAATCATGGCTAAAATCTGATCTGAAAAGCTGCTCAATTTATATCCATATTACTACTAGCAATTAACGTTGATACCAACTTTGCTAACTCAGTAATTCCTAGTATGGGTTATGGAACCATAGTTCTGATTTGGCCTTGCCCTTCTCAAAGGCTGTTAGTTTAGAGATGCCCTACCAAAACAAAATAATTTGTTATCTAGCCCAGAAATTATATATTACCAGCAGCAATTCACAGTCTGTAGCAAAGATTGTTTCAGCAGCAATTCACAGGATGTAGCAAAGATTGTTTCCCCCAGAGAAGCTGGGAATGAAACCTGGACCTGTTTTATTTATTACATTACTTTATTTAGATTTTGTTTCCCCATTCTCCACCCCAATGGAAACCAGACAGTATATCTGGAATCTCCGGGGTCTTCTAGTCCAGTTGTTGACGGCCTGCAAAATAGCTGTACCATCTGCGCTCAGGCCCTGTCCAACTTGCCTGGCAAGCACATGCTCTACTCAGAGATGTGGGCTCTGCTTTATTGCAAGTCAAGGTCTTTCTATCTTTGAAATGCTAGATGTACCACTTATTACTCCTACTATTATCTCCTATTGTTTTCTTTCTACCAGCTCCAGTAGATACTAAGCAGAGCAAAGGTTGGGTGGCTTTAAAGAGTGCTTGAAGGAGGAAGGGTGTATCTTACTATGGCCTTTGCCCAATCCCTGAGCCGGGGAAGGAGGGTCTCATGAATATGAAAAGCATCTCTGTGCTCTCACTCCCTCTTTCCCTCCTCCCTTTCTTCTCTCCTCCTCCTAGTCTCCTGGCCATGAAGGCAGCAGCAGAGCAGCTGAACACAGGATGCTGAAAACCCACAGGAAGCTCTTCCCAGGGACCCTAAAGATGCTACCCAGCTAAAGAGATAGCGGGTATTCGGTAAGGCAGAATTTGAGATAACCTTGGGTATTTGTGGCTCACGTGGAAGAGGAACCTGGGAGAACCTGCCTTTGGAGGGACTGGTCAGAGATTGCTTTGCCCCAGGCTCAGCTAGGATTTCTAGACAATGGATGTATGCTATGCTTCGCTTATCTGGAGGATGCAGGATTAGTGAAGCAAATGGGCCTTGCTGAGGGATGCAGGAATTATTTTCTCTCTACCTTTCCACATGCCATCCCATCCCACCTGGATTCCTCAAGAATGGGGGAAAAAAGGGGCAGCTATAGCCCAGCCTCGTTCTTTGTATTACTGGAGGAAATGGATGTTGCTGCTAGCTAGCTGCTACTGCTTTGGTCTGCCTTTTGTTTGAGGATTTGTGTCTCTCCTCTCCCTCCACAGCAACACCCTCCCTGCCTTTGCAAAGATCAAATTTCCCTCAGTTCATGGCTGATTTCATTCATTTCTCTCTCCTTTTGGCTCTGGGTCAACAGCCTTGTGGAATTTAGAGGCTAAACAGGGTCGCATGGCTTTGTAACACCAGCATAAAAACTGATGGTTGAATCTTTTTTTAAAAAAAACAACACACAACTTTTTGTATGATGCAAAAGTTAAATAGATTTGCTGCTCTTTCTTTGCTATTAGGTATGCATCATTCTCTTTTGCTGGGATGGGAGGGGTAGGGGAATGAAAGGATCCATTCTTTTCCTTGTTTATCAATGCCTCATGGGAATGATTGAATCAGAGATCTGGAGGAGGCAGGGGTGGGAGCCAACTTTGTGCCATTTGTTGTGCAGTGCTTGCTTGGGTTGCTTCTCTCCCCTCCTCCCAATGAAACGCAACATAAGGTGGCACTCTGCACAGTGATTTGTGCTGGGAGACACATCTGGGACTCTCTGGAGATGTGATGCTTTGGAACAAAAAGTTACTATTCGTTTTGCGGTAATCTGTATATTAGATATTGAATAGGCATTTGACTACCATTTACCTAAGAAAATGTGTTTCCAGATTTTAGAAAAGAGAATGGGAAAACATAACCATCAACCTCACTGCCTTTCTCACAGGCTGCATTTAGTTTGTTGGAGCTAAAGTTATGCAAAACTGCTGTATAGTTTTTTTTTTTCACTTCCTACCCTCTTCTCCAAACCATGTGCTATAATTCATATCTATATATTTATTGATCTCATTGGGATCCCACCTTTTTCAGTAAACCATGATTAAGCAAATCATGACTTAAAATGAGAAACTCTCTTTCTCTTTTGAAAGAAAAATTGCTCCTTGAAGGGCAGACCTTAAATTCATGTAAGATTCTTCATGCTAATTCCTTCTGGCATCTTCAGGTAGGACTGAATGTGGCTTTAGGATAAATCTCCTAGCTGAAGCTGTCTCCACATAAAGCTTTCTACAATTAATGCTGTCCAAGGGTGATGGGAGTTTAATGCAGCACACGTGGAAAACATAAAGTTGGAGAAGGCACAATAGCCAATACTGTTTGGACTAGTGATCCATTAAAGCAGCTTATTATTTGGGTATTTTTTAATTAAGAAAAGATAACATAAAACAATTTAGTATGATTCTCCTCATCTCCATTCTAGCCCAGAGTTGATGGCTTATTCACTGGTGGAATCTTTCATTCAATATTCTATCACTGATTCTTTCATTCAACTGTTCAGAAGAACTTAACAGATATATAATGTACTTCTCTAGAATCTGGCATTGTATAATCAACACTGTGTCTGGAGCTGAACTGAGTCTAGTGGTTCACTTATTAATTAATAGGGATTGCCTTCTCTACCATCTCATTGCAGTTTTGCTCTAAACATCATTAAACCATTAAATGGAGCAAGTAAGTATGAAAATAATCTGTTTTCTGTGAGGAATGATGGATATGCAACACTGAATATCTAATTCGTATAATAGTTGCAGATACATGTTTATCTTTGTCAAATTAGAAACAGCTAAGGAAAAAACTGAGAACCAATTTGGTATAGTGGTTGAGGTACCAGGCTAGAAACCAGGAGACCATAAATTCTAGTATCACCTTCAACACAAATCCAGCTCAGCGACCTTGGCCAATCACTTTCTCCCAGCTCTAAGGAGACAGTTACAAATCGCTTCTGAAAAGCCTCGCTGACCTGTATTTTTAACAAATTCATGTGGGGAATCCAACACTCTTTTAATTTTTCTACATTTTCCCCAAACAGAGAAAGTTGTCCCTGTTTATATAGTCCTTGGTTAAGGATGGTCATATTATTCAGTGTCCTCTCTCATTTCTCATGTACATGGTCTTCACTACAATCTTCGCAACATACCATCTTCCCTGGAGCTTCATTTCAAGTCTGCATCTTCTTTTTGTTAATCAAATTTACTTTTCACTTCCTTCAGACCTTCTGAACTAACAGACAATGTTTCAGTCCTGATCCATCACCTGAGCAGTTAAAATTGATAGGAATACCTCTGTGCAACAATGTAGCCAGTGTCATAGGAGACACATACTTGGCCTTGGTTTATTGCAGAAACTAGCCAGAGTTGAATCTTGTGGTTGGTGCTTGGAAAGGAAACTGCCACCAACGGCCAGACATTATTGTATACTGGGAAATAAACACACACATATACATACAAAAGAGTATATTACAAAGCAGTTTTATATTGTTGCCATAGATACATCCATATAAAGATCCCAAGAATTGAACTCAACTCAAAGGCTTGACTTTTGGCAATTTATTTTCTCTGATTAGAATAATGTAGAGCAGCTCTTTTCATTCTCTGCTAATGCAAGAGATTGAAAGCTTCTACTAGAAAGAAAAAAAATGATTATGTTGGCTACCTATTTCTTGGTGCAGTCTTCTCTTTCAAATGCCCTTGCTTGCTCTATATCCTTTTAAGAGATGTCTCCTCTAAGCTCATTCAAAATTCATTTTCCCCATTATCTACTTTCCCTAGGTTAACTCCTCCTCCATTAACAGTTGAGCGTTCCCTCTCAAAACACTGCTCTGAATATATTTAATTACCTGCATTGATTGGGGCTTTCTGACTAAACCTAGCTGCAAGCAGTAGCATATTGAAAAATGGCAGCTGGCAGCCTCAAGCAGTTCTCTGTATTAGATGAAGCCAACAGGATGTCATCTCTCTCAAGCTGTTAGGATGGAGTTTTCTGCACTGATTGTATCTAATGCCTTTGTTGCTTTGGAACAATTTGGGTGCCACTCACAGTTGTCCTTTGTAAACAATCAGAGCCTTATCCAAACTTTTACCTTCAGTTTCCTCATTGACCTGCATTTAACTCCATTTGTTCCTGGTCCTGCCATTCTGGGATCTTTCATGATGTTGAAAAGCCAGCTTCTTTCTTTCTCTCTCCCTTAAGATGACAGTTCCGTAGCTCAATAATTCCTTGATATTTGGGATTTCTAGGAGAAGATCTCTGTCCTCTAAGGGTGGGCTTGTTACATTTGATTTTTCTTTGATGTATTGAGGAGAAGGATTAAAGTTTCTATCATGGTAGTTAAAGGAAGATTCCATGTCTAGCAATATCTTGGATTATTCATTATCCATTCTTGGGTATTAAACATCAGTGAAAGTTCAGCATATTCCCGCTTGTACAGAAAATTCCAGGCAGCTGCTTTGGAAATGGAATATTGTGGCAGGCAAAAATATCTGAATAGAGATGTTTTAAATTTTTGGCTATATACATATTTCAGGGATCCATTTCAATTGTTTACTCTATTGTATAGGAATGTAAAATTTATGGGAATCAGAAGTGTATAGAAGATAGGAACTACTGTCATAACAGGGAAAGATTTCTGACTAGGCAAGATACATTGTTCAAAGAAGCATTTCTGAAATGCTGCAACCTGTCTTCTTGAAGTTGTTTCTTTTATTGATTTCATACACTTGTAAACCAATTACCTTCTGCAAATTCAGAGAACTCCGGAGAAAGTCTCCTTTCAATACTGTTTCATACCTGAGTAGAGGACCAAATGGGTGGCTGTAGCATGTCCATCCTTGGTCTTCTTGACTCCCAGCAGCCTTTGATACCATCAACCATGGTGACCTTCTGTATCGTCTTTGTGGGTTGGGAGTGAACAGCTTTGGGCTGGGTCTCCTCCTTCACCCAGAGTCAGTTCTAGTCAGTGTTGATGGGATGGGGCTTTGCAGGGTCTTTCACAACTTCGTGCTTTCCCCACTCCCATTTAACATCTACAAGAAGCTGCTGTCTGTGCTTTTATCTCAGTATCTAGAGGTTGTAGGGGTTTGGAAGTAGGGAAGGGACAGGCTTCAGCTCAACCCTAGCAAGACTAAATGGCTGCACTGCCCTAAGCAGAACTGATGTGAAATGTGAGGATCCTTCTGGACTTGCAGCTCCTGTTCAGTGATCAGGTGTCAAACAAGGCCAGGTGCATTTTTGTACAAACTTCATCTTATATATATATCTGCTATTCCCTTTTCTGGATCAGGAGGCTCTGCTTATAGTGACTCATACCTTAGTCACCTGCTGGGTGGATTACTGCAATGCACTGTACATGGGATTTCATTTGAAAAGCATCTGGAAGCTATAGCGGCTACAGAATGCAGTGATGCAGACAGTTGTGAATGTATTTTAATGTGCACATGCTACTCTTCTGTCAATGAGCTGCCTTGGTTGGAGATGTGCTTCCAGATGCAATTCAAGATGTTGATTGCCAACTAGAAAACTGTTCATGGCATAGGGCCAGGCTATTTGGGACGCCCTTGAGGCATTGGGATCAGGGTGCCAAGTGAAAGTTTGATGTGCTGTTTTTGGGATTGGGTTGGTTTCTCAGCTGTGGTGCATGATGCTGAATTTTACACTGTTATAAACTGGGTGGCTTTATCAATATAATAAACTGAGAAATGAACATATTCAAAAGCAGTATGTGCAAAATAATGTTTGTAGGTTTTATACAATCATAAAAGCCCAAGTAAAAGTTGGAACCATATCATCAGAACTATAATTTTTATCAACCGCTAAAAGTTTTCAGTCTGCAGGCTTCAACTTGTCTCCCAAGAAATAAGAAGCATAAGAGGCTTTCTTGTACCGTGTCAGGTCATCGTCCATCTCCCTTACTTATTTCGGTTTTCTTAAACCTACTTGGAGATACTGCCGATAGGATTTAGGATCTTTTCCAACTAAAACATGGGTGTCAAGCTTGATTGTGTCACATGACGTATCGCGACATATCGCAATGTTTTTTGCTTTTGTGGAGCTGGGGTGGGCGTGGCCTGTGCATGATGTATCTGGCCCGTGGGCCGCCAGTTCGAGATCCCTGATTAAAGCATGCAGTTTCTAGATAATGCACAGCTGCTTTGATCAGGAGCTTTCTTTGTCAAAGATGAGTTTGATCACAAGACAGCACCTTTTTTTTTACTTTATTTATTAACACTTTAATGCATGGCTTACACTTTGGAGAAGTACATATAAGGAGACAAACTTCAAGTGTTCTGGTATCAAGATGTTTAGGGTTAGGACAATTGTAATTGAGTTAATACATTGCACAAAGCAATGGTTTCCTTAGCCAGGGTTTGTTGAATAAGCCACAATTAGCTTGGTTCAGACGTTTTGAGGCCCAGCTTCTGCAAAATGCATCTTGTTCATCCAACGAGGAAATGCTTTGAATGAAACTGAAAAAAACCAAAAGTAATTTCTTTATAGTAATAATGTGCCTATATAATAAATAGCAAAGTAGCTACCGGTATAAATAGTAACTAGAGTTTTATATGATATTTCAATTTAATTTTAAAGAATTCTAATTTGAAATGAATAGAAATCTGTTTTGTTCTGTTTTGCTTCATTCTGCAGGACCTGATGACTGAAATGATTTGTTCTGCTCACTTCCATGCAAACTTTTCCTTGAACATGAGCAGCGTGAGGGCATTTCACATGTTCCTTGCCTTCTGCCTTATTCTACTCAACTTTGGAAGCCTGCAATGCCTTGTTTTAAGACAAGGGGACGAAAGGCATGAAAGACAACTGCATCTGGCATCTCCAGCCGGGAACAGCTTAGCAGACACAAATGCATCAAACCCAGAGGGTAACTTAAGCTCATCCATGAATATAGCCAGCGCTTCTGCTTCTGAAAGCCTTTATGGAGCCTCAGTAGACCCATCCAGGAAGTCATTAAACAGAGCCACAACTGAAAAAACAACCTTACCAACCATTCTGCATGTTCCCAATCCCTCGGAGTCCGCAGATATGAATGCTTTTGCCAGCACAGGTCTGGAGAGTGCTGCAGAAAGCGAAAGGCAAATCAGTCTCAATGGGCCCAATGTAAAACCGGATAAATATGGGACACAGGAAGCTTTATTTGCCAATGTTGTGACAATTCCAGATCTTGTTGAAGACAATACACTTAGCTCTGCAAAAGAAACAGTGGAAGGAGGTGGGGGAGAAGGAAAACTAGAAGGAGATCAGTTTACACTACGCAGTCTGGAGGAAGCTACCCATGTTGACCCTTCAGACAATCCCCAGGTAACTATCCCCAAAGTAATAAGTAGTTTTCCCACTATAACATCATCAAGAAGCCTTTCCAAAAATCCATTTCTTCCAACGAGCCCACCAGTTGATTTAACAAAAGGATCCGATGGAAATAGCTTCCCAACCATTTGGATGGGCACAGATGCTGCTACAGAGCCCAGGTTGTTGCCTGCAGGTGCCTCCTTAAATTTGGAAGGGGAACTCTCAGAGAACCAAGGGCCCTTGAAAGGCATTTTAAGCACTACCACAATGGCCACTGCAGGCTTGCTGTTAAGTGATGAGTGGGACGATACCAAATTAGAGCCTTCCAGCCAAGCGAAAGCTATGCATCCTCTGAAGATAAATCAACCTTGGATAGCACAACCAACAGGACAGGAGGACGATGATGTGAAAAAGGACCTGTCACCAAGATTATTGGTGACCACGGCAAAAGGAAGCAAAGATAATCAGAATGGGTCAGGCCAGGTACCCATGCAGGTAGAGGAATTGGCCAATACAAGCTTGAATCTTGCTCATACCATCGATCCCTCTGAGACGGTTGGAGCCCAGTCTGAAAATCCAGGGGAAAATGTAGATCCAACAGTGATCATTAGGTCTGGATTGCTTTCTGAGACTATAACTACAACAGATGCAACCAAATCAGATGTCTTCCAAACCTTAAGACATCAATTAAGAGGTAATTCTCTCCCCCCTCCCCTATTTGCACTCATGAGTGCTTCTTGTTTTAAGATAATTTAGGAGTATGAACCACTGCTCGGTTTATGGCATATACTGCAATGGTGCTATACATGATCCTTCCTCTTTTTAGGTTCCTTGTCTATCTAAAATATTCAGCGGGGATTTAATCTATTTAATCTATAACAGCCAATCTTTTATAATATCTTTTCCCTTTTCAGATGGGCAATGGAGAAATTGCTTACGTTCCCTTCTTTCTGCTCCTAATAAGCTTTCCCCACAGGCTTCCATAAGTAAATAGAACAGAGTCTCAGAGTAGCTGAGAATGGTTGAGCATGGCTTCACCCTGATCCCGTTGCTTTCTTTTGATTATTATGCTTTCTTTGGTCACCCCTATGATCCACTCTTGACTGATTTTTGCCTGATAGGTGTGATTCAAATTTCTTAACAATCAGTTCTGTGAGCGTGGCCTAATTTGTGGGTATGGCTTGGTGGTCATGTGACTGGCTGGGCGTGACTTGTGTGTAAATATTATAAATATTTATGTAAATATTATAAATATTTATGTAAATATTGAATTTTTTATAAAAAAAGAGCAACTTTTACCCAAAATCAGGCAAAGCGGGCAGGCAGATTGAGTTGCTCACAGAATCAAAGATTCACTCAGAGAACTACCTATCTGCAATCTGCTGCCTGAGTCTGCACTGAAAAATAGAAGCTTCAGTCCTAAGGCAGGTTCAGCTCTGCTTTTAGATTCGCTAAAAAGCAAGGAATGCAATGATTTCCTGCTTTCTAGCTACTCTAAATCTCCCGGCACAGCAGAACAGCTGATGCTCAGGGGGGTCGGAGGGAGGAAAAATAGCAACTTACTCAATGCAGGCAAGTTTGATGGCACACATGCCAGGTAAGGCGGGGAGGGGAGGAACGGGACCAGCCAGTGGTGCGATTTGCCAGGGCTCTCTTCCCCTTCACTATACTTCTCTTTTCTACCTTGTGGCAAAGCAGAACCAGTACTTTAGCTTTCCTTAACCTAATGCCCTCTGTTGATGTGAGATTGCCAACCCCTCCACCCCAAATTCCCAGCCAGACCCCAAATTGAAGAAGAGGACTTTGGTGACCTTTGAAATTCTTTCTCCCAACAATGAGAAGGTATGCAATGTATATGCAGGTAGTCCTTGACTTACAACTTAAGTCATTTAGTGACCATTCAACATTACAATGAGGGGACTCGCAACCCAGATCCGATGTTCTGACAGTCGCCTGCCCCAGGAGCTTGGCAACATGACTAAATTTACAGCCATTTGCAGCACCCCCTGTTCGCGTGTCAGCGTTTTACAATGGTTTTGCCCAAAACTGACACTTCATGCTTAATGACCATGACATTGGCTTAATGACCATTGCAAAAAGGATTGTAAAATCAGGTCGGTCACATGACCAATCTGTTTTATGATCATTACAGCTTACGACCATAATGGCCAGGTTCAGAGGTGGTGTTCAGCAGGTTCTGACCAGTTCTGGTAGTGGAAATTTTGAGTAGTTCGGAGAACCGGCAAATACCACCTCTGACTGGCCCTCTCCCCCATCTATTCTCTGAGTCCCAGCTGATTGGCTGGGTCTACTTTTGTTGCCCTGCACAGGAGAACGGAGCTGGAAAGAGGTTAGTGGGGTGAGGAGGGAATGGGATTTTGCAATATCCTTCCCTCAGGAGTGGGGTGGAAATGGAGATTTTACAATATCCTTCCCCTGCCACACCCACCAAACCACACCCACAGAACCATAGTAAAAATATTTGAATCCCACCACTGGCCAGGCTCTAGTATGCTCATAACTTGAGCACTACCTGTAGACTACCCAAGCTATGATAGAATAAACACACATAAGAAACGGAGAGAAACATTTTTTAATATTTATATTTCCTAAAGCTGGGGACTGAGAAATAGTGCAAGTAGTCCTCAACTTACAATAGTTCATTTAGTGACTGTTCAAAGTTACATCAGCACTGACAAAAGTGAGTTATGACTGTTTTTCACACTTACGACCATTGCAGCATCCCCATGGTCATGTGATCAAAACTGAGATGCTTGGCAGCTGACTCATGTTTATGATGGTTGCAGTGTCTCAAGGTCATGTGATAATCTTTTGCGACCTTCTGACCAGCAAAGTCAATGGGGATCCAGATTCATTTAACAACCAGGTTACTAACTTATCAATTACAGTGATTCAGTTAACAGCTGTGGCAAGATAGGTCATAAAACAGGGCAAAATTCACTTAACAACTGTCTTATTCAGCAGCAGAAATTGGGCTCAATTGTGGTTGTAAGTTGAGGACTACCTGTACTGTGTTATTGTGTATATATGCTGAGCTTGGCAAGTCCCAGGATTCTGTCTGACTCGATGCTTAGTTTCCCTTGTTGATCGTAACTCCTTAAAATGCAGGTTAAAAGCATTCCTTTATTATTGCCTATTGCTGTGTCTGTTTGCCTAAGGCGTTTCTACTGCTCCCCTGCAGGAAGAATTCTGTGCTTTGACTCAATTCTGCATTTTCTTTAATTCCAACTAATTAACACCCTGCCTAGATAGGAACATTCGTTTTATTTTTCTTTAGATGGGTTTCTGTTGTTTTATTTCTTTATATACTTTTTTGCAGGGGTGGGGGAGACAATCCCTGGGCTACATGTGGCTCCAATTATTATTTTTTCTTCATCCTGGACAATACCACAAATTAAGTTTTATGGCTTTCTTCGAAACTGCTCTTTCAGACACGAAGCCTCCTGATGTAACTTCCGTCATTCTCAATCAGTCCAATAATCCACTATTTCTGGAAGGTACCAGAATAGGAATACAGTGGAACCTCGGTCACGAACGCTTCTGACCACGACCAAATCAGGTGCCAACCAAAATATCAGCTAAATGTTTCACTCTGGTCATGAACACAATCTTTGGGTGGCGATCAAACACAGCCATGGCAATTTTTCCTGCCACAGCGATTTCTACTTCCATGCCATTTTTATTTTTTTTTTGTCCATGCATGCGCAGTCAACCTTGCTTCCAGTCATGACCAAATCGGGTTGTGACTAAAGTCCTGGAATGGATTACGGTCGTGACTGGAGGTTCCACTGTACTATGCTTTGAGGAGCATCAAAGTTCTTAGTATGTTCTCAAAAGAGCAGTCAGGAACAATGGCCCAGCCAGGTTTTTCCCCTCTCCCCCAGGATTTTAGGAAGGGATATGGGGCAGATCTCTGTGAGGCAAACTCCTTCCATTCCCATCTTTGAGCGCCTCCCTATACCCAAAACATGGCCTAGATTTATTATTTTTTGCTCTTCCATTTTGGCAGCTTGATCTTGGCATGCTGAGAGATTCTATTGGAGGATGAATCACATGTAGATGATTCACTGTTGATTTAATGAAAAACCCACAAAAGGCTCAGTGTTTTCTGAGTTTACACTGTAAACCCAACCAACAAAACCACATTATATAATGGATAAACCTAGCTACTGAGTGTATATGATGTTAGAGTTAGGGAACTGAATCCATTTTCCTATTATTTGATTTTTTTTCAAATTATTTTCAAAAATTTGAAACTGTTTAATAACTGCTTTATATAATAACACCTTTGAAAGGATGTATTAACCTTCACTTTCTATGTTCTGAAGCAGTTCCTCTAGCTGCTATGCTGTTACTTGGGAATTTTGGCAGACGATTTTCTGCAGCCTCGCTTCAGGGTTTGGAGTCCCTTGGATATTTTGGCTGCTTCTGTGCTGCTGCAGTGAGCTGTGGATGGGCCTGGGTCCAAGTTGGAACCAATTTAACAAAAGTATTCCTAAATGAATGAACTGTTCAAAAGCATTGTGGCAGGATGGCTGCCTGAACCCCCTAAGACCCTGATGGGACATAATGATAGACACCCTCTAAATATCCCTTTGTACTCAATACTAGAGAACAGAGTGTGATCATTTGGATCATAAACTATGTAGCCAGCAAAAGACAAAAGCTTGTGTACTCTTATTCATTTTTTCAGCAATCTGATACAGAGATAAGGATCTCTTTTGGCTACATTTTTTTCCGAAACTGCAGAAGATCTTGAGAAAAGTCTTCCTTAGCTTTTGAGAAGTAAAATAAAATATTCTTATGCATTTTTTCTTTAGAAGGTGTGCCTCATTTATTTTAACAAAAGCCATAAGGAGTCTTGAGGCACTTCAAAAATTAACATATTTATTATAATATTAGTTTTTCTAAGCTGCATACACTCCATTGTATGTATTAAGTTTTATGCTGAGTAGAATTGTTCCACAAGAGAAAGAGCTTTGGAAAGCAGTGAGATTATTAAAAAATAATTAGGCCTATGGAGTTAGACCCAATCCAGGGTGTCTGTATGGACGGACATTTGCCATCTAAATCTATTCTCAGTGAAAATCTGTAACTCAGACGTATCCCCGATCCCATCTGTTATCTCTTCCTTTTTCTACTTCCCTAAACCTTGGCAATAACGTCATTTTTTCTAGTACCTCTTTTCTTTGCATTGCATTCCCAAATATTCCCAGTTATTTCAAGGGAGTCCTCTGCAGATCTTATTCCACTAGTTGTTGGCGACTCTAGTGGGCGGTGCTCATCTCTGTTTCAAGGCCATTGATCCGGCGCTGTCTGAAGACATTTCTGTGGTCAGGTGGCCAGCATGACATAATGGAGCATCTTACCTTCCTACCAAAGTGGTACCTATTTATTTACTTGCATTTGCATGCTGTCAGACTGCTAGGTTGGCAGGAGCTGGGGCGAAGATGGGAGCTCACCCCATCATGTGGCGCTCGAGTCTTGGATTTTAATCTTGAAAGGCTTACCGCCATAAACTCTTGAACCTTTCTTCTTCAGTAAGGATATGTAAACATCTTTTTCAGTTTCATTCCATACTTGTTGAAATAGAGCTGTTGAGAGTTAAAACTGTTGAAAATATATTTTTACCTGATCAACAAAAGATTGAGAAAACTAAATAGTAATCGAATCAATTGCAATTCTTTATAAGAAATAGAAAAATGTCTATTCTCTGCAAGATGGATTCAGAAGTTGCCATTTTTATCAAATTAAATTCCAGCAAATATGCTTACTGCACTTTCACAAGTAAGAAGTCATATTTTGCTTTTCTGTTCCATTTGAAAGAACCATCTGGACTGGATAAAGTAAACAGTATGGATCTGACAAAATAATTTGCCACCCAACCTGGACTTTAGTTAGTTAGTAGGGCACCTTGTATCTCCAGTCTGTATATAATAGTGAGAACATCTCATGCAGGTTTTCTTCTATAAAGAGCATCAAAGATGGACTTACACTATAGCATTCAAAATATAAAAATTGAGGTTATTTCACTGTACCAAATCCTGTAAAAGGGTCATTTCACTTCCTTTCAAAAGCCTGTCAGAATTCTTAATACATTATCAATGCATTCGGGTTCATTTCTGCTTTCTTGTGAGAAATAATAGTTATCTCTTAGAGTTCTACCGTATCCTTTTCAAGAGATTCACTAGTTATTCTTTCAACTTACAGTTTTAGAATCTCTGAAGTACATTTGAATGGCCAAAATTCTGCTCTTCTATAATTGTTTCATTCACAAGAAAGTGTTTTTTAAGTTATAATGCTACTTTGGTGCTCATCGTTAATTGGTTCCAGGAGGCACGATGAGTACCGAAATATTTTTTCCCATAAGAAATAATGTAGTGAGTCACAACACAGCCAACAATGACAAATTCTAGCTTGTGCATTAAGTACCAAAAAAACGATGCATATTGGGACAAAATTTTCATGTCCAAATGTGTTGAGTACCAAATTTGATGAGTTTCAAAGCAGTTGAGTACCAAGGTATCACAGTATAAGCAATTCAAGATTAAACACTTTGTCTGGAATCTCAGAAAAGTTAAGAGTTAATACAGATTTTGGGAGCTTCTCAGAGGAAGGAAGAGCTGTGCCATCGTCTTTAGATTCTGTTTTCCTTCGTTAAACAAGAGTAATGTTTGGAAAGTGGGAGGTTATTTCCTTTTCAGTCAGTACATATTACAACTCAGAATTTATTCACAAATAATCTAAGGAAAGAAAAAAGAGTAAATGAAATTATTTGCCTACTAGTTCAGTTACCAAGCTATCCAGAATTGGTGGATAATTTTCAAAGTTGATTGGAAAATTGAGATTGTAGAATATACAGTTGCCATTAAAAATTCAAAATCTCCATCATAATTTGTTTTGAAATCTGTGATCTTCGTTACTTTGATAATTTTTCTGCATCAGCCACATCTCTTATCTTTTTCCAGAGTTCTCAAATTCTCTTTTGCACAAATTAAATATGCATTTGTTCCTTATACAATGTGCACAAATTTCCTACAGGATTACATATTTCCAGGAACACCTAACAATACTTTTTGCAATAACTCATGTATGACAAATCCAAATGTTTTTCATAAATAGTTGAATGCTCAGAATCGAACTGCTGGCAGTGGGCAGAATTCTAACCTTTGCACCACCATGGCTCTTATGTAAACATATGCAAATCATGTGTGTTAAAATTATAATAACTATTAGATTTATATCCCACCTTTATTTTGTTACAGCTCAAAATGGCATACATAACACTACTGCCTCAAAAATAACCCTGTAAGATGAGTTGGGCTGATAGAGAAACTGTGGCCCAAAGTCACCCAGCTGGGTTTCATAGAATAGAACCCCCTTTTAAACATCCATTGAAGAGTCCAATAATCCCGAAAAAAGATGTTTTGATGAATTTACCTCATTATAATAAGAAACATATTTTGAAAACTTGAAACCATTAGCTCAATTCCAGATTGTTAATAATTATCATTATGTTATAGCATTTCCCAATTGTTTATACAACTGAATTGCTTGTTTTGCTTCTAAATAAAATTTTATTTAATCTACGGTATTCAAAATATAGATATCCTTATTATAATTATAAGCTGATAATACATCAGGTTCAAATTGAGAATTTAACAAATGTTTGAATATACTGTGTTGCCATTCAGTGGTTTTAGACAGGCAATGTTTGTTTCAGGAACCCTTTCAAAAGTTTTAACTGTACAATTAGAAATAAGTAGATCTAGGATATTTTTCCCTTTCTTAGCCTGGATTAAAAAAAAACACACTTTTAAACCTTCATTTTAAAATAAAGGTCATTTCAGAAGGTTAATTTATCATAAGGATAGGAATCAAATTGCAATTTATTTTCTAATACATTCTCAAAAGGTCTACTTGCCTATAATATTTGGAGTACAATTACTTTCTAGTTATAATTACAACCAAGTACTGGCCAGAATTTCAAAGGCACCAAATAATAATTCTCCTGTATTCTCATAGTGGTACGTATTGATCTCAGGGGCAGTATTAATGTGCATAATGTACAGGTAGTTCTCAACTTACAACAGTTCATTGAGTGACTTTTCAAAGTTACAGCAGCATTGAAAAAGGTGACTTATGATCCTTTTTCACACTTATGACCTTTTTATTATTGCCACCTACTCCAAAATGCTCTTTTATTGTTATTGTTTAGAGATCACATGAAGCCACGTGCAGCAATGGGAACCTTCAACTCTCACTGTTGAACTAGAGCGCGTATAGGATCTAATCAATATGGTTAATAGGAAAGATATTCAAAATTGATTCAGTGACATCTGGAGGGCGATGTGGGCAAACAAGCTTAGGTTACCTATGGGGTTTTGCATCCACGTTTCCTTGTGTCAACTTCAAAGCTTTTCCTTTTGTTCCCCCCCGCCCCCATGTTTTAAATGCTGCTGTCTTAAATATCATATGTTTGATATTTTAAATTGTTTTTGTGATTATTAACTGTAATAGTGATATATGTGCATTTGTATGGTTTGATTATAATGCAAGACATATTGGGAAGACCATTTCCTTTGAAAAACAGAATATAAATAAATAAATGAGCAAGATAGTAATGCTCTTTAAAAAACTAAAGTTTTCAACCTCTTTTTCAATCCCCTTTTTATTGAAGGAACAGCCACAGCCTTCCCTGGTACTGCTACTGTGCCATCCCCTGGGATCTCAGGAGGCCTACCTACCCAGAAGATTACAGAATCACAAAATGTGATGATGAAAGAAATAGAATTGGCAACTCAGATATCAGCGGTTTCCAGCACCCCCCAACTCTTGAGGATATTAGAAACAGTTGCTCCTACAGAATCTCCTCCTTCCACCCATCTCCCAGAGAAAATGGTGGAAGTTAAAGGTTGGTTGGATTCCCCCACCCCTTAATTTAATTCTGAGTCAATCTCTGACATCTCAGTTGAATGGTTGATGGGAGAGATCTTTCTATGTGAGATTTGGAAAGTTGTATCTAATTCTGATAGACAAAAGTCTGATAATTCATGCCTCACTGAATTACTGCTCATAGTATACCTCACCATTCATCAAATTGGTTGGAGCTTTTGGGAGTTTTAATATAGTTCAATAACAGTCAACGGGCCATAGGATGCCCAGCCTAGGTTATGCCATGCATGGACATCCTGTGGTCCTAAGCTTCATCTAGCAGTTAGTCAGAATTAATTTCAGTCCTCTTGTAAGAGCTATTTTTATGTTTATTGTGGTTTAATGCTTGCAAGAAAAAAAATATCCAAATTTGCTAGGGAGGCAAATACAGGTAGTCAGGGGTGGGATTTTACCGGTTTGGACCGGTTCTATGGAACCGGTTGTTATGATTCTGCGCAGGTTGGAGAACTAGCAAATCATGCCCCTGGCTGACCCCTTCCCTCTCTGCCCGCCCCTTCCCTCCCTGCTCAGTCAGTCCTTATCGCTCATGAGTGACATTGCGCACATGCCTGACATTGCTGACTGTGTTCTCTCCACTCAGTCACTCCTTAAGATATTTCTTTTTCCCCCTCCTCCTGACGACCAGCTGTTTTGATGATCAGCTGTGCTGGGATCCCCCTTGCTGTCTTACTGCTTTGCCCAGGAGGCAAAAAGGGGTTCGTGGGGGGAGCTGCATGCCCCCATTCCATTTTTTGCCTTTCTAAGCCCCAGGGAATCCTTCTGGGAGCAAAAATGGCCCCCAGGAAGCTTCCCTGAGGCCCAGGACACCCAAAAACAGGGGAGGGGTACTGCAAAAAAAGAAGAAGAAGCCATGCCTACCCAGTCAGATGGCCATGCCCACCTAGCCATGCACACAGAACCGGTTGTTAAAAAAATCCCATCCCTGCAGGTAGCCGTTAACTTACGACCACAATTGAACCCAACATTCATGTTGCTACATGAGAAATTCGTAAACTGGGTTTGCCCCATCTTATGACTTTTCTTGCCACATTTATTAAGTGAATCACAGCAGTTTGTTAAATTACTATAACACCGCTGTTAAATGAATCTGGCTTCCCGATTGACTTTGCTTGCCAGAAGGTTGCAAAAGATGATCACGTGACCCTGGGACACTGCAACCATCATAAATGTAAGTCAGTTGTCAAGCATTCACATGTAAATCACATAACCATGGGGATGCCGCCACGATCATAAGTGTGAAAAATGGTCATAAGTCACTTTTTTCAATGCTGTTGTAATTTGAATGGTCACTAAGTGAACTGTTATAAGTCAGGGGCTATCTGCAATCTGATCTAATGTAAGGCAATTTAGTATATTAATTGTCATGAAAAAATGCATGGTATTAAGAATGCCAAATCTCATATCAGTTCACCCACCATTAAGTTTTCTATTGAAGTTCTGTCCTAGTTAATAACCCTGACCTTATAACCCCAATTAGTAGGCAGGAGAGGAGTAGAAAAAAGTCTGTTTATTAGTTTTCAAATTACAAATTATACACTTTTGGAATATTAGGAATTTAATGTATCTGTGCACTTTATAGTGTTTATTTCTTTTTGCATTCGTATAATGTTTGTGATTGTGGTTTTTCTTAATTTTTGTATTATTGTATTTTGCAGTTTAGATTATAAACTATTTTGAGATATGTATTCTGAAAAGTTAAGTAAATTAATAAATTATGTTAAATACAGTTGCAATCAACTAGATCATTGTTTCTCAACCTTGGGGGCTTGAAGATGTATGGACTTCAGCTCCCAGAATTCCCCAGCCAGCACAACTTCTGGGAGTTGAAGTCCACACATCTTCAAGCCCCCAAGGTTGAGAAACACTGAACTAGATGGTAGAAATTTTCTTTCAACTCTAATATTAGGTCTCAAGACCATCCATTGAAAGAGATGGTTAGAGATTCAGGGTACACCGGAAGAATTTTTTTTCTTCATACCCCACATAATGACGTGGTAGAATTATTTACTGTAAGAAGTAAATGTATTTACCAATTCAAGTATGAGGGGCTCTTGGTGCTCTCTAACCTAGCTTGTTTTCTTGCAGACATTTCATTACCCAAACTAGGTAACTTCATCAGTGCTAGTGAGCTAGCATTGATGATGTTACTCAGAAGTGGGATTCAAATTTTTTAACAACCGGTTCTGTGGGTGTGGCCCTGTCACTGGGTGGGCACTGTTGTAATGACGAAGCAGTCGAGGTGTTTGATCATGATCAAATGAATCATGATGAACTTTATTGGAGTCTAGTCTTACATTTATACACATTTTTAGTAATCCTCCAACATTGGTTAACTTTGGTTTCTGCTTAACTTTCATTACTCTTTAGCATAGTAATTAACGCAATTAATTATCTCTAGTTAAAGTCTAACATGTTTACTTCTTCTCTCTAATCCTCCTTTACATTAGTGACTTTGTTTGCTTGAGTTGTATTTGCTTTGGAACCTTCATTATCTGAGGTTTGCCCATGGGTTGTTTTTTTGGCAACTCCCCCCCTCCCAGGTTTTGGGCCTTCTGGACCTCAGAGAAGCCTCCTGGGGGGGGGGGGGTTGCTCCCAGAAGGCTCCCCTGGGACTCAGGACGAAAAAAATGGACCCTGGAGGGGGCACACAGCAGCCCCGCCTTCCATTTTGGGGCCTTCTGGGCCTCATGGAAGTCTCCGGGGGGGGGGGCTTTTTGCTCCCAGGAAGTTTCCTTGGGGCCCAGGAAAGCAGAAAATGGAGCACAGGGTGTGTGTGTGCTGTGAATCCCCCCTCCATTTTTTGCCTTCCTGGGCCTCAGGGAAGCTTCCTGGGTGAAGCAGTAAGGCAGCGTGGGGAATCCTGGTACAGCTGATCATAGGAACAGTTGGTCAGGAGGGAAAAAAAAAAGAAATACCTTAAGTAGTGACTGGGCTGGAAAAAAAACAGTCAGCGATGTCGGGTATGTGCACGATATTGCGCATGTGCGATAAGGACAGACTGGGTGGGGAGGGGAGGGGCGGGCGGAGAGGGGCAGAGCCAGTCAGGGGCATGATTTGCCAGTTCTCCGAACTGGGCAGAATCATAACAGCCAGTTCTATATAACCGGTCCAAACCGGTAGAATCCCATCCCTGATGTTACTAATGAAATGTCTGCAAGAAAACAAGCAAGCTCAGTGAGCATCAAGGACCTCTCATGTCAACCCTGAGCTACAGATATTTTCCTTTATCAATTCAAATAGCTTCAAAACATTTGGGAATCATCCTTAATTCATGTGCTAAGAATTTCCACTTATATGAAATATATATTCTCATCTATTTCCATCCGCTAGCACTAGTTGGGGTTCTTATCTCCAGCCATTGGTTAAGGATGATGAAAATTATAACATGAGACATCTTTCTTAGTCATGATTCTTGCTTGGCTTCCAGAACCTGTCACTCTCCTAGAGAATAAAGAGATCATCTCTGTTACCTATAGTCCTGCAACGCTGGCTGACCTGAGGGTGCCAAATGAAATGACTCTGCCTTCTTTGGCATCTTCTACAAGGCAAACCACAGTTCTAGCTGCCCACCGAATGACCACAGCTTCAACTTATGGGCTGGAAAGTCTGGAATCAGAAGGTACTAAGATGATTTGAACAGGGATCTTTAAAGTCTGAATACTCCCCAACAGGAATTGACTGTGAGAGTGTAATGGTCCAAATATCTATATAGTACTAAAACTCTTATGTCTGTTTGATTGTTTGTAACTTTGGTGAAACAGTGTATTATAGGGAAACAATTTGGAATTGAAATTCCTCAAATGGGTTATAGAACATGACCAAGATTCAGGACCTATTTTCCTTGGGGATTGAAATTTAGCAAAGTTTTAATAAGTTGTAAGTCTTAAGCTTGCCTTAATGCATAGAATCCAACTGGATGGCTTTGGAGTATGTAGTCATTTTCACTTAGCCTAGGAAGATGGTAATTAGTTCTGGAAATGTTGCCTAGAAAATTGCATGGGTTTGTGCCTGTAGTTTCAAGAAATCAAGACTGACTTGGAGGCAGATCCCTCTGTCTCTCTCTCCCTCTTCCTGTCTGTCTGTCTGTCTGTCTGTCTGTCTGTCTATCTATCTATCTATCTATCTATCTATCTATCTATCTATCTATCTATCTATCTATCTATCTATC